TTCCTAACAAAGCCTCCCACTTGTCTGCCTATGAAGTTTCTGCCGTTTATAAATTTGGTGTTTTATAAGTATTCTGCAATTTTGCTGTTGTCCTGTGCTAATTTCATGTAATTGCCTTTTTTAAAATATTTCTTAGTTATACATGGACTCTATGTCTTCATTTTGTTTACTTACTTTTATGTGGTGCTAAGGATCAAACCCAGTGCCTCGCACATGGGAGGCAAATGCTCTAGCACTGAACTACACCCCAGCTGCCTGTAATTGCCTTTTATATTTCTGGGTTTAAGTTTCTTTCTAAATGTCGATCATTGTCACTTATGGGTATTGCACCCTCATCATACAAAATATGGTTTCTCAATAACATTTTGCATATCCAGTTTTATAGGAGCAAATGATATGTCAATCATCTTTTTCTTATGCTTGTGTTGATATTAATTAGCTATCTGCGAACCTGAGAAAAACTGATATCATGTTAAGAAATGCAGTATACCTTGGATAACTGGATTGCTGAGACGTGGCTCAACCCTATTCTGGAGGTAGAACAATAGTAACAATCTACAGAAATTTTCCTGTGCCTTTCTTTTTATTGGAGCCTATAAGCCACCTAAGGAGGGCTCTCGAGGCCCACTGATGCAGAACACCAAGTTGTATCCCCTGGCCCAAGAGGCACTCCTCTTGGTGTCATCACCCCAATGGCTTAGTCTGACCTGAGCAAAACAGGACCTGAAGTTGTTACGCATCATAGAAGCAGGCCATTTCATTCACTGGTGGGGAAGTGACAAGAGCAAGAAAATGCAAACACAGCATTTTACTTATGTTTCTGAGAGAATTAAAAAAAGATCCCAAAACTACTTATCAGTGTGATTACCCAGTACATTTAGAAATAAATATTCTGGGACACTTAAAAATCAACTTGCAGACATACAGAACAGTAATTGTGCTATAACTGTTTAGCACAGTTACCTCACAGGTAACTCTGAATCTAATGGGGATACAAGGAGAACCCTCAGAGATGATTTCTTTCATCCCTGAACTCTATCAGGCTTCCCCAAAAATGCACAGATAATTTGAAAGGGATTGGTGTGGAGAAGAGAAAACACTATAGTCTCCCCAAGGTCAAATGTGGAATCCAGTGTAAACGCCACCCAAGCTAAGCTAGCAGCCCAGTGGGGTCATGGAATTTTACCTGTCTTCAATACTGGATAGGAATAAAGTATTAGGTCCATATGTCAGTCAGAAAACCAGAGGGAAAGTATTGTGAATGTTGGTCTTATTTTGAGAGAGGGTCTCGATAAGTTGCTGCAAGACTGGCCTCAAATTTGTAATCCTCCTTCCTCAGCCTCCCACATTGCTGGGATTACAGGTATGAGCCACAATACCCAGCGTAACACAGATGTCTTAAAATTATATTACAAAATATTAGGCCAAGCATGGTGGCACACACCTATAATCCCAGTGGCTGGGTAGGCTGAGGCAGGAGGATCGTCAGTTCAAAGCCAGCCTCAGCAATGGCAAGGCACTAAGCAATTCAGTGAGACCCTGTCACTAGATAAAATACAAAATAGGAGTGAGGATGTGGCTCAGTGGTCAAGTACCCCTGAGTTCAATCCCTGGTACCAAAAAAAATAGAGGCATGACTTCAATTTGATAAACTAAAACCTGGGGAAATTGAATTTAGGGGAGCTTCTCCCTAGTTAGGTGTCTCACCAGTAACAGATGCTAGAGAACAACTCCCTTGCTTAAGAGCTCCTGTCCTAGAAAGTTTGGTTATTGTTCTTTGATGTAAAAATGGTACCAAAAACTAGTGTCACCTAAACCAATCAGCAGTATATTCTTACAGCTCAACTGTTTTCACACCACAAATCCAGGAACCGTTTCTAGTGACCTTAGCAGGCAGAAGTAATTCCATTTTAAGCAACATGCAGTCATTTGCATGATCTATGCTTTTTGTGGATGTGGGTTGTTTGGAGTGAGGGGATTGCACTGGGTTGTTTTTTGGTTTCCTGTGCTTTGGGGGGCTTGGTAAGTGGGTAGTCCTGCTACAGAGGTAGGAGGGATGCATATCAATGTATGCAGTGCATGAACCACTTACACAAATGCTCTAGCTGTATGTACCTTCAATTCAAAATAGATGACTAAGGCAGTTGAAAACAATGCGGCCTCCCAAGTGCTAACAAGAAAGGATAATTTGAAACCTATACTGGTGTGCTAAAATCAAGACTTAGCTGTCTCCATTCCTAATGCCTGTGCGACATGGTGCCCCAGAGGGAATGGCTTTTCAGCAGGACCCCTGTCACTCTAATAATGTCCCCTCTAATGGGCTCTCAAAGAGCATCCATTGATATGAAACAGAAACATCAAATGCCTACAGGACAAAGCATTTGGAAAAGGAGGATGCTTTGCACCTGACGGCCTTTGTGTATAAGGAGCTCCCAGCTGAGAGCAGCAATGCCATCTTGGTTTCAAATAGGAAATGTGCCTCAGTCAGTCGCCATCCAGTGCTGCAGCACATTTATATGAAGTTCACAGAGGAAGAGGCTTTGTTAATGCTTCAGTCAGTACCTAAAAATGCCAGGTACATCACAAGCGTTCAGTAAATGCTAGTCAGTTAAATTTTTAGTCCTTTATTTTTCTTTCACTTAATTATGACTGGCCGCTTTTTAACTAACCCTTTTCTCAAGAAGGATTCCCTGTCACACTCAGGAAACTACATTAGTTGGGTCCATGGAATAAGCTAGAACTGATTTCTGCTTTTGTAGAAGAGAGAGTGCAGGCCACTGACAGGACTGTCGTGTTCACAGTGGGATTCTGAAGGAGGGGAAGAGTAGCTCTTGCCCTGTGCCTTTTCTGAGTTCATGTCTTCCCCAGCTTCCTGGTCCCTCCAATCTGATGAAAGGCAAAAATCTCTGTTTGGGGCCACTAATAGTATGCTTGCCTGGTGTGCAGGAGGCCCTCTGTTCCATCCCTAGTACTGCAAAAAAGGTGGGGGAAATATTCAAATATGAAATGAAAGCTACATATCCTTGTGGTGTTTTGGTACTTTATGATTCCCAACTATTTGTTCGATCAGAGAAGCTGAAATCAGAAGCAGTGATCCCAGAGGTCACAGTATAGAAATATTTTGCAAAAAATTGAGTTATTTGAAGGATTTTTTTTTTTTTTCTGTTTTTCGGGCTGGGGATGTAAGCCAGGAACTGTGTGCCAAGCACATGTTTTCATGCTCTACCACTGAGCCACATCCCAGCCCAAGAGGATCACTTTTAAAATTTTAACAACTATATCTTAAATGTAAGTAAAAATTTGTTCTACCTCATCAACCCAAGTTTAAAATACTCCCTGTACATTATTAACAAAAAGGATAGCAAATTTACTCTAGCAGTAAACACTGAACAATGGAGATTATGTGTATTTTAATATTACAGTATAAATATATTAATATGTTAATATTTATATTAAATAATATAAATTATTATTTATAATTGTTTTTTGTCTACTGAAAATACTTGGTTTGCACGAAAAATGTCTGTTACACCTGCATAGCACTTCTTAGAACCTTGGATGGTGATGTTGTGCTCACCCTGAAGTGCATGTAGGTTTGCATTGTGTATGTATTAAGATAGAAAAAAAATGTATTCTTGATTTTTGAGTACACAAGTGCTTTTATATTTATGTCTAACATTTGGCTACATGAAGCTTATGAATCATTTACCTTCTACATAAAAATACTCTGTAGACTTTGCTGCTGCTTTTAACAGAAATTAAAAACATTCCATAAAAACCAGTTGGAATATAATTACTATAGTCCCAATATTTATTAAGATTTTTTTTAATTTTTTTAGTTATAGGTAGATATAATACCTTTATTTGTTTGTTTGTTTGTTTGTTTATTTTTATGTGGTGCTAAGGATCGAACCCAGTGCCTCACATGTGGTAGGCGAGCTCTTTACCACTGAGCCACGACTCCAGCCCAATATTTATTAGTTTTTACTTGTTTAAGTTATTTGGCCAGATGGTGGTGCATTCCTGTAATCCCAGTGGCTCAGGAGGCTGAGGCTAGTGGATCTCAAGTTCAAAGCCAGCCTCAGCAATTTAGCGAGGCCCTAAGCAACTCAGGGAGACCCTGTCTCTAAATAAAATATTAAAAAGGGATGGAGACGTGGCTCTGTGGTTAAGCACCCCTGGGTTCATTCCCTGGTACAAAAAGGGGGAAAAAATCTTATTTGTAATGTTGGCCTTTTAAAAGAGTTGGAAATATAAGATTGACAAATTCTAGGTGAATTTTCCATTTAGTTACAGTGAATCAGTATATTTATAGCTGATTGGTCTTTAGCAATGCCCACATTTTTTAGTTTCCCAGAGCATCCATAATTTTTATCAGCTACGTTAATTTTCTTGATTTAATTCTGTTCCTGCAATTTGTAAAGCTTTTCCCCAATATGCATTATTTTCTGTATAATTATAGGCAACATTACTGTTAGCAGTTGCTGGTAATCAGGAATGGCTTCCATGTTATTGGTAACAATTTGCATAATCTATTGCTCATCCTAGAGCTTGTAATTTAAAATGATTTGTAGATTGCATGTTCTTTTGTTATCAGTATTATTGCATGTTATCAGAATAATGAATATCAAGGGAACTGATTCCTTTTGCCTTTAGTAAGAAAAGTAATAAATTTTATCATTGAGGTAGTAATACTCCCATTGAGACCAAATCATTTAAAATTTGCTTTAACTGTTTTTATTTTATACCCTAAGCTTTCTCTTGCATGCAAAGTCTGGTGTTGTTTTCTAATCTTCAATTACTATTTGGAATCTGATCATCTCTCTTGCTGAGATAACCTACTCTGTGAAAATTACAACTGGTAGGAGCTGTCAGCAGTGTGACCTGAACTGTGGCAGGTGCAGAATCATGAGCATTGAGTTGATTTTGGAAATTGGATGGCAGTTTTACTTTTTCTTTCTGTTTCACTCCTATTATGTCCTCTCTGGCACCCTTTTCAGTTTCCTCAGGCTGGGGAGAAATGCCCAGTGCTCACGCAAAGGCTGAAAACTCATGGGGGGAGCCATCCCCCCCTTCCACCCTGGTGGACAACGGCACAGCCGCATGGGGGAAGCCACCCAGCAGTGGCAGCGGGTGGGGAGATCACCCTGCTGAGTCAACGGGGACATTCGGAAGAGCCAGTGCTCCCACTGCCACCCCAGCCCTGTGCAAGCCAGGTGAGCCAAGCACTCTGCATGCCCTGATCTAGGGATGTAGAAATGGTTCAAAGCGTTCTATGTAGACAGATGCTTTTCATTGGATTTGAAAACACTTTCCTTTTTTAAGCTGTCACACTTGTTCATTTATTTTTTGGTGCTTGGAATTGAACCTCAGGCCTTGTACATGCTGCACACACACACTACCACTTAGCCCCAGACCAAACTGAATTTTAAAAATTAAAGTATTAGGAAACAGTATACCTCAATCTATTTATACTTTAGGACTAACTTTAACCAAGACTATAAAGAAATATTTACCACATCTAACACATGAACATAAATGAATTTTTAACAGAAATCCCATCCTCTCCTCCTTTTAAAAATAAATATAGGGGCTGCGGTTATGGCTCAATGTCAGAGCACTTGCCTAGCATGTGTGAGGCACTGGGTTCAATCCTCAGCACCACATAAAAAATAAATAAATAAAACAAAAGCATTCTGTCCATCTACAGCTATAAACAAAAAAAAATACAAAAAAATTAAAGCAATCAAACATACTAAACATATACTGCATGTTGAGCACCCTCAATCTGAAAATTCAAAGTGTTCTAAAACCTGAAAATCCTTGAGCCTCAATGTGGCCACATGGTAAAAAAAAATTCCACCCTGACCTCATATGCTAGGTTCCACAGGTGTATAGAAAATAAATAACACAAAGTCACCTGCAGGCCACATGCACAGGTAGATGGGAACACTGAGCTACTAGAGTCACCTGCAGGTTGTATGAATAAGGTATATATGAAACAAACAAATTTTGAGTTTAGACATGAGTCCTGTCCCCATGTCTCACTTATGTACATGTAAATAATTCAAGTCCAAAAATGATCTGAAATACTTCTGTTCCCCAGCATTTCAGTGAGGGCTCCAACTGCAGTTCTCACTCTTCCTTTGCAGTATTTGTGCCTGCTGATTAAACTTATTCATCAAAGAAGACAAATAGAACAGATGTTTTTTTTTTTTTTCCTTGAGATGAGTCTTAAAAACACATATTCATAGTGGTCTGAAACTTCTTGCCTTATTTTCATCTTATAAACAAAATTTCACTTTGGGTCTTCCTGTTCATACTTAAAACAACTTGGAAAAAGATGGGACTGGGGTATGGCTCAGAGGTAGAGCGCTTGCCCGGCATGGGTGAGGTCCGGGGTTTCCTAATTATAAGATGGCTGATTTAAGTCTGATGTGAAAATTAATTGTTCAGCCCAGCACAATGGTGCTTGGGAGGCTAAAGCAAGAAGATCTCAAGTTTGAGGCCAGCCTCAACTTGAATTGTGTCTCAAAATGAAAAAGGGCGGGAGACATAGCTCAGTAGTACAGCACCCCTGGTTCCGTCCTCAGTACCAGGGGGAAAATTGTTTACATGGCTGCAGAAAGCATCTTATTTTCTTTGTATGTTGTTAGATGTCCTAGATCTTAAAATATAACTCCATTTGATTTTGTGTTTTGTTGACAGTAGATGGTATGTTCCAGATATCCATCAGTTGTGCTAGAAGTATTTAGTCCATTTCTGTTGCTTTTGGTTACAAAGCTAAAGGATAAGGGAACTTCTGGGTATTTAAATTCACATGCCATTTTGAAGCAGTGTATTTTGTTTTTAGAACTTGTCCATGAGGTCAAGTTATGTGCCTATCTACCTCGTAGATGTCAAATTTTCATCATCTTAAAGACTTTGGGTATCCACAGTCACCTAGTTTGGCCTTTTTTAGTTCTTCCAAGAACTAGAAAATGGGGATGCTTTGACACCAAAAATCACTTTCTATTTTTAAAAAGAGGAAAAAGTAGCATCCTGAAATATTGAGCTTCTTCCCCAGCGCTAGGCTTCTGTGCTGGAGCTGTGGGCATCTCCTGGGGAGCTTGTCAGAAATACAGATAGACACCCTAGGCCAACAGCCTGCCATGTGATCCCCACCGACTGCCACTGTGGTGAGGATTGAGAAGCACTGGCCGCATGGCATATTGCCCACTGGCTTAGACCAAGTGACAGCAGAGCCATGTGGGGCCAAAGACACTTTCAGGAGGCCTCATTCAGAGCAGCCTTTTCACAGAGTACAGACATTGCCACCCACTCCTTAGGGCTGCAGGGTTCCTTTCACACTGCTTCACAGTGGTAGTGTAGTTGGTTAAGGAAGTTTGGAACAGCATGGACTGCAGATACCTGGAGTGCAGGGGAGGAAACACAAGTGTATCTGCGTCATCCATGATGGGAGGAGAAAGGCCCTTCTTAGGTACCAGGGAAAGGAAGTGTGAGAAGGTGGATCATACTGTACCCACTTTTCCCCACCTCCCCGGATTTCATTAGAGCAAAACTCCACATGCCTTAGGGAGGGAATTTGATATTTCCTGTTTGCTCTCCTTCCAGCTTCCAAATCTATGCAAGAAGGCTGGGGCAGTGGTGGGGATGAAGTGAACCTGGGCCCCAGCCAGTGGGAGGACGAGGAAGGGGACCTGTGGAACAATGCTGCTTCCCAAGAAAGCACTTCCTCCTGCAGCTCCTGGGGCAATGCCCCCAAAAAGGGACTTCAAAAGGTAGGTACAGTGCTTCTACAGGAGAGAACTAGCAGTTTTGGAGGTTCTGGTCAGTGGGCCTTATTGCCTTGGGCCTGTGGTGAGGCAGCACATCATAGTGAAAGCTATGGTGGAACCAAGCTGCACACCTCCTGGCCAGAAAGTCAGGAGGAGGAAGGGGTCAGGGAGGAAGGCACAGCCCAGCCCCAAACCCAAAAACCTCCCTCTAGGCTCTACCTCCCAGTAATGCCACTCTGGGCAACAGCCTTCAACACATGGGCCTGTAGGGGACACAAGTGGAACTGTCAGGAAGAGCACATACAGAAATATAAGAGCCCAGTTGTTCCTTAAGCCAGACCTCTCAGAGTCACAGAGGGGCAACACAGTGCAGGTTCTTCTCACTGGAAATGTGTTTTAGGAATGTAATTAAATTTTTTTAAAATAATGTTACTCATAGCTAGGCACCATGTGCATGGCCATAATCTCAGCAACTCAGCAGGCAGAGGCAGGAAGATGTAAGTCTGAAGCCAGCCTGAGCAATTTAATGAACACTGTCTCAAAATTAAAAAAAAAAAAAATTTAAGGTTGGGGATGTAGCTCAGTGGTAGAGCACCCCTGAGTTCAACCTCCAGTACCCCCCCAAAAAAAATTATGTTAATATGTAATGCTTCTGTTGTTATTATTGCTGTTTTTAATAAAACTAATAAATATTTTTTTTAAATTTCTCAGCTTTAACTTCAAATACAGTAAATGTTGATAAACACAACATCTATAAACAAAAGTTCTTTGGGATGTTTAATCTTTAAGACTTAGTGTATAATGGGGTTCCCAAACTAAAAAGTTGGATAGCTGAAGTGTACCATTAACTAGTATTGAAATAAATGAGAAGCCATCTGGAAGATACTGAACCCCCAACTCACACCAAGATAAATTCCAATTACATCACAAATTTAAATATAAAAATATAAAATCATGATTGTTATAAAAACAATATTGCAGTTGGAGGGACATTTCTAACTATGACTAAAATCTTCAAGCCATAAAAGAATTTTAGATTTCAATAATAAACACAAAAACCATGCATAACAGAAAATAAGCTAATCAGAGACAAAGTGCAAATAACAGGCAGGGGAAAAAATTGTAACTCACATCACAGAATTGATCTCTTTGATACTTAACAAAGTCCTAGAAAATGGTTTTTAAAACAACCGGAGACCAGGACTGGAGTTGTGGCTCAGCAATAGCACACTTGCCTGGCATGTGTGAGGCACTGGGTTCGATTCTCAGCACCATGTATAAAGAAAGAAAGAAAGAAACTGTATCAACAACTAAAACAAAACATTTTTAAAAATAAATAAAACAACCGGAAACCAATAAAAAACAACAGAGAAGGTGATCTTCAATTTCACAGCATAATAATCTCAAGTTTTATGCCTTTTTTTTTGGCAAAAGAATATGTGAGCATCATATAAAACTTTAGTTTAAAAAAAGAAGTACTGATATTATTTTAAAAATATTTATTATTAAACTGTCTTTGGTGCAATATTAGGGTGTTTTGAATACTGATGAATATACATTAGGGTTGACAGCCCTACCAGGCACCATGGCCCCAAGCCTACAGTCCCAGGGGTTTGGGGGGTTGAGGCATGCACCACCAGGTCTGGTGTGAAACTGCACATTTTTAAAGAAAAATCTATAAATAGGTTATGGTTCAGGTATGTTGATATGAAGAGTTCAGCAAAATACATTGTTCAGTAAAAAAGGTAAGGTACTGAAAAAGATGAATAGTACACTTAGAGTTTTGTAAGGGAGAGTCACATGTATGTACACATACTGGGTTCTGTAGAATGTTCTAATTCCTTGTAAATCATGTGAATGTATTACTGTAAAGAAAATTTACTTTAGAAGAACATTTTAGAAAAACATAGCAATAAGCAGAATCCAGGAACTAAAACCAGGCCCCGTTTACCAGCAGTAGTAGAAGTAAGTGATTGCAGACATCAAAAAGAAGTCTCTTTATGGTTGGGCTGCCAGATAATCAGTTACAATGGGACTAGAATTAACCAAATTGGTTAATTAAAATGTAGTCTTGTTGGGCCTTTTGGTGCATGCCTGTAATCCCAGCAGCTTGGGATGCTGAGGCAAGAGGACTGCAAGTTCAAGTCCAGCCTCAGCAACTTTGTGAGGCCCTAAGCAACCCAGCATGACTCTAGATAAAACAGAAAGGGATGGGGACGTGGCTCAGTGGTTAAGCACCCCCTGGGTTCAATCCCTGGTACCAAAAAAATAAAAATAAAACATATTCTGGTTTGATGTGGCTTCAGCAACATGGTAATGGCGGAAACAGCCCTAGATGAACTGCTTGCTGGAAGGCATAAGCCCGCTCCACATGCTCTACCACAGTTACAGCAGGCTCCTGTTCCAGAACACACAGTGAGGTGTATTCTTAGAGGGGGCATTTTTTGTTGGTTCATTTTTTGAGAATGAGTCTCACTGTGTCACCCAGTTGCTTCTGAAATGCTGGGCCCAAATCATCCTCCTGCCAAGTAGCGGAACTACAGGCAGGATTTTTGTTTTGTTTTGTTTATTGTCTTGATTTATCAGTAGAGCCTTTGTCAGTGCAGACTCAGAGGGAAGTTACTCTCCAGGCTCTGGGCCTTCCTGCTGGGTTCTCTCTTCCTGTAGGTGACCTGTCCCCCTTTTCTTATTCTCTCTCTGACATTTTCCTTCTTCCTCCTTTCCTCTCACCTGAGGGTTACAAATGACGAATAGTTAATAAAATTAAAAGGTTTGTTTTCTTCTTCTTGCCCTTTCATTCATTGCAACAAACCCCCTGTATTTTCCATTGAGAGTAAAGTTTGTAAAAGGACAAAACCATGCAATTTGGAACATTCCTTGTGATTATTTAATAATGAAAGTAGTACTCTTTAAGAGCTGGGCTGTAGCAAAGTGGCAAAGCTTGTGCCTAGCATGCGTGAGGCACTGGGTTCAATCCTCAGTACCACATAAAAATTAACAAATAAATAAAGGCATTCTGTCAGCTATAAAAAAAATTAAAAAGAAAGAAAGTGGTATGCTCTTGTGACAAGCCAAATTGATTCCCTAGGAAGGGGAAATAATCACCCTGGGTTTTGTAAGTCCATAAGTTACACATATTAACCAACCTGGTGCTGCACCCTGCAGTTCTCTGTAGTATTTGTCACAAGTACTATCAGGGACCTCATGGAGTACAACACAATTTAACACTAACAAAAAGGTCCCCCGGGCCTGGGGCTGTAGCTCAGAAGTGCCTAGCAAGTGTGAGGCACTGGGTTCAATCCTCTGCACCACACAAAGAATAAGTAAATAAAATAAAGGTATTGTGTCCAGGGCTGGGAATATATAGCTCACTTGGTAGAGAGCTTTCCCTGCATGCACAAGGCCCTGGGTTCAGTCCCCAGCACACACACACACACAAAAAGAAAAAAATTTAAAAGGCATTGTGTCCATCTACAAATAAGTATATCAAAAAAAAAGATCCTGTGACTTCTAAATTATCAAGAGATTCAGCTGCCTCCTGTTTCTAGGAGAAATGCAACTCTTGGCCCTTCACCTTGCCTGCACTTCATTCCAGGGCATGAAGACATCTGGCAAGCAGGATGAGGCCTGGATCATGAGTCGGCTGATCAAACAACTCACAGACATGGGCTTCCCAGTGAGTGGTCTCCCGTTACTACTCCCCCATATTTGCCCAAGTGAACAGCTGTAATTGTTTCTTACTCAAGGAAGGCTGTGAGGATGAGGTTACTGATGTCATTAGCTCGTAAACCCCCTTTGGTGGGCAGTTTAGGCTAGGTTTGAACTGCAGCAAAAGACCCCACTCAGTTTCCATCAAGAAAGACATGAGAGGGGCTGAGGATGTGGCTCAAGTGGTAGCGCACTCGCCTGGCATGGGCCAGGCACTGGGTTCCATCCTCGACACCACATAAAAATTTTAAAAATAAAGATATTTTGTCCACCTAAAATTAAAAAATAAATATTTTTAAAAATTAAAAAAAAGACAAGAGCTTTTTCATAAAGTAGAAACTACATGATTTGTAGCTTCCATGGTTTATATAATTTTTTTATTATAATTTATAGTTAAAAGTGAATTATATTAGTTAATGTAATAGATTGAAGAAGATTACAAGAGAAAGCTTGGTATAAATAAATACTAAAGCATCATATTTTCAAAAAAGTCATTCTAACCAAGCCTGTTTAATTCCTGAGTTTCTGATGATGTATAGGGAGAATTCAGATCTCAGTGTGTGTTCCCACTGGTAAGTAAAAACTTACCAGTTTGTTTATTTCCTAAGGGAAATGACAGGGATTCAGAGAGCCAGGGCTATCACCCATGGTCGCTGTGTAGTCCCTTTGAATGTCTTCTTTCCAAATCCTTATTCAGATGAGTGTCTTCACTAGGTAACCTGTAGGATGGTGCCTCAGGCCAGGCGTACCTGCATTGTGCAGGGCACTGCCCCTGTGGCCCAGCTGCTGAAGTCATCATAGCACCCTGGAGCTTCTGTTGTCCACTGGATCAGTCAGCTCCAATCAGAGGGATAACAACCAAGATAAACCTACTTGGGGTTTTTTTTGGGTTTTTTGTTTGTTTGTTTGTTTGTTTGTTTTGCTTGCTTGTTTGTTTATTTCCTGTTTCTTGGAGGAAGTTTGGATGGCAGAGCCTAGAGCTCATGGCATGGAAAAGAACCCCTAGGCTGACTGCAAGTGACTTTTAACAGTTGCTGGTTCTAGAGAGGCAGGTGGGATAGGGTCTTCCTGCATCAATGTCTGGCCCTGCTGTATCGGCCGGGTGGCATCCCTGCTGAATCATTACTATAGAGAAGGCACTTGATGGAGAACTTAGAAGGCTATCCTAGAACCCTGCATTATGTTCCTAAGATGTTAAATATAAGTTCTTCAAGATCCACAGTCATTTTTAATTATGGGTGCTTTCTGTTTAAAAGAAGTCTGTAGTCTCAGCAGTGGAGAAAAGCATTTCCAGGTCCAAACCCTAGCCATCACAGCACTCTCCACAATGGTGGTGACCACGCTGCTCCTAGCCCTCCCTCTGCTGCTATATGCTGCTGACAAGCACTCTGCTTCCTCTGCAGAGGGAGCCAGCCGAGGAGGCCCTGAAGAGCAACAGCATGAACCTGGACCAGGCCATGAGTAAGTGAGAGTGTCAGCAGCACTCACCAGAACCACCAGCAAAATACAGAAAATACACAAAATGGGGCACAGAAATACAGAAAATAGGACACTGAGTGGACCTCAGGAAGGAAGGACAGACTCATTGTACAGTGTATGACCTGGGTTTGACATGAGATTAATTGTTGGGTGATTCATGTTTCCTGCCAATCTGCACATTCCCACAGGTGACCACAAAGATGCCATAATTATTGATTTGGGGGTTACAGACTTTAGTGAGTAGGCAGATTTTTCAGGTACAAAATCTGAAAAATAGTGGTAGATGGTGTGATCAGGTGGGGTTGAGATGTCAGAGCAGAGAAGCTTGGGCTAGTAGAAGCAGTGAGCACCAGCTTTTGAAAGACTTGTACAGTAATACAAAGTTAAAGTGACCCAAACAAATGCCGGTCACTGGGCCAGAAGCTTCCAGGAATACAAAAGCGGTTTACTTTTACAAGACGGCAGTAATGGGAACTGAGGCCACAAGGTGAGTAAGAAGAGCCATTCTCATAGACAGTCAGGAAGGCCCTGACACTGGTGGTTTCAGGGGGAAGCAAGCATGTGAAGCCTGGGCAGCTGTGGGTGCGCTCCTCCAAGGGGAGGCAGCAGGGGTGCCAAGGAGGCCCAGGGCTGGTGAACCAGCATCTGAGGGCTGTTGTGCCCCTGCTGCTTTCTGAAGGGCTCAGGGGTCTCTTCCCTGAGGCTGGAGCCAGCACCTGCTCTGTGTCAACATCCATGACCTCATTTGCTTTTCATGTTGTTCTGTATTTGTGCCCCAGGCGCTCTGCTGGAAAAGAAGGTGGACATGGACAAGCGTGGACTGGGAGTGACTGACTATAATGGGATGGTCACCAAACCCCTCGGCTGCCGCCCACCAATCTCCAAAGAGTCTTCCATGGACCGCCCCACCTTTCTTGACAAGGTAATAGATTTAGGCAGCTTTTAAATGAGAAGTGTTTTCATTTAAACTGTGTCCTTAATGCAAGTCAGATTAAATTTTTGCTAGACTTTGAACTTTTTTCCCCCTAATATATGAAAGTTTAACTCAAAGGCATATGTTTCACAAATGATGTTACTAGAAATGAAAAATGCTGAATTGAAAACTAATCTTCATTGTTGCTGTGGGAACTTATCTGGTTATCCACTTCAGTCTGTCCAGTACGCAAGGTCATCACATTTGTTTTACTGCCTAATTTCAAATATGCAGTTCTTCCATTTGGAAATTATATGTGTAGCCTTGAAGAAAGGGAAGTGGCAGGGCTGAGCTCTGGCCAGCCAACCATGTCGGTGACACCCACAGCCCCCGTAGACAGCTCCCTGCACATTCAAGTCCAGGTCAGCTCAGTCCTCTTAGTGTTATCATGGAGTGGTGTCCCCCTCCAGATTGGTGGACCTACAAAGCAGGGAAACACATGTTAGATTTGATCAGAATGATCCAACCCTGAATATAAAGTTGAAACAAGAAGGGATGTGCTTTAGAAAACACAGGAAGTCTCCTAGGAGGGCTCTTGCCATCCTTGATAGGATTTTCTCTCTGTTCTTAGAACCTCGCCAATACACTCCACTTCAAAAAACTGGGCTGTGGAGTGAACCAGGAATGTATTAAACTAAAAAATGATTTGTTCACTTGAAATTCCAAATTAACACAGCATCCTGTACTTTTATTTGCTAAATCTGACGACCCTGAGAGTGGGACCATGACCTATTTGCTTATATTTAAAACAGAATAATATTGCAAACGGGTTGTGACATTGGATGAAATCAATTTGTTAAGACCTTAGCACATAGTATGCCCTCAATTAATATAAGAAAAAAAACTATAATAGGATTCTGTATGTTTTATGACTTCCACTCATATTAGGTTAAACTTTATGAAATTTCTGAGTGCCAAGGTCAAAGCTGGTGAATGTCAGAATCCAGCCCATGTGTGCCTCAAGCCTTGCTCCTATCTTCTCAAAGAACCTGTTTGAAACTGGATATACTGTGTTCTCCAGATCAGACTTGGCCAGCACTTCTGGCCCCTCCTCCTCACTCTCCCCAGTCAGGGGCCGCAGTGTCTGAAGGCAGTACTAGAAGCTAATGTATGTGTTTGTAGAATGTTTTCAATGAAAACAGCATCTTAATCCTGTTTCTCTTTTTCTTTCCCCTCTTCTTTCGCCCATGCTGTCCATTCCCTCACTCTCCACACTCGCTCTTTTAACTCTCTCCATCCGTCCCCTTCCTCCTTCCTTGGGAAACTGTTCGGTGCTTTGTCTGCTGGTGGACGCTGCGCACAGCTCACCCTTTCTTTCTCCAATCAGGATGGCGGCCTCGTGGAAGAGCCCACGACTTCACCATTTTTGCCTTCCCCAAGCCTGAAGCTCCCCCTTTCCAACAGTGCACTCCCCAATCAGGCCCTGGGTGGGATTGCCTCAGGGCTGGGCATGCAAAACTTGAACTCTTCCAGACAGGTAAGACTGGGGAGAAAGCTGACTGTGGTCTCTGTTCACCTGCCCCTTAGAAAGATGTGTTCCATGAAAACACTCTTATTTTCCATTAATACTTTTATTTAAAAATACAATCAAATATGGAAGAGTAGTTGAAAATACCATAAGAATTTCTCTCAGGTATTTCAGGTAAAATCAGGAATTGAATAGGAGTTCCTGAAATTTAACAGTGCAATAGGAAATGTTTGTTACTTTTACGCTAAACCAAAACATACTTGAGTCTTCCCATGCCCTGGACACCAACTTCCTGCTAATTTAAATGCTGATGTGTTGCCAAATAGTACTGAGCTGGAAGAGAACCCAGGCACTCCCTTCCCATTAGAAGCAGAGGGGGCCTGTCTCGCCAAGAGATCCCCCAAGGGCCTGGGAGGCCTGATTGTCTGTTTCTCCATTTCTCCACCTTTCTGTGGATTCTCTGACTCCATGGTATTGAGACAAACAGCACTGTGATGGCTACAGGCCAGCCCTCCTGGCTAGTCTTGCAGGGGAAAATGCCCACACACACCTTTGCCCCTTTCTTGAAGTACATCTAGTGTTAGGGAGTCTGAGCAGGCCCTTTTGTGCCTGTGGTCTCCATGGGATTATCAACAGTGTCCTCTCCACTCAGAGATCCCAGTTGACCTTCAGTGCAATCCTGGCTCTTGGAGTTGCTAGCTTTGTCGAGTTTAGTAGGAATCTCCCTTCCAGATGTTCTGCTGTCAGGAGTCAGCAGCCCAGCAGCAGTGTGCGCACAGGATGGGTCTCCTGCCTTGTGCCTCCCAGACTGCTCTTCCAAGAGAAGGCCAAGAGCATCTTGCTGCACCTCTTTGTTAGGTAGCTCATGACACAGTGTGGAAAATGCACCCCAGACAGACTTACTGGATTCGACAAAGGTTAACTACCCAAATTTGCCAGTTGATTCAATTCCAGGGTTTTTTGAAATAATAGATATATTTCCCATTTGAAAATGTCACTCTTCTCTGGGTCAGTAGTAATAACCAAACATTCTTGCCCTTTAACTCTGACCATAGATATAGCCTTCTGGAAATGGCTGCCTGAATGTGTGTCATTCAGACAGCCATGTCCACATCACTGTTTTCTGAAATACTCTGTTGTTATGGTTTCTGTAAGTTGGCAGCCTTGTTGGGGACACTTTAAATGCACCATCAGGCAGAGTGCAATGGCACATGCCTGTCCCAGCCATTCAGAAGGCTGAGGTGGGAAGATCACAAGGCCAGCTTGGGCAACTTAGTGGGACCCTGTCTCAAATTTTTAAAAATACATAAAAAGGACCAGAAGTGTAGCTCAGAAGTAGAACACCCCTGGGTTTAGTCCCCAGTACTGCCAGAAAAGGGGCTGTTATCATACGGCTCCTGTGAGCTTAAAGCATCAGCTGCTTCTGTGGCTGACTGTCCACCCACTATCACCAGTACAGATAGTATTGGTCCTAGGTGTGGTGGAACAGGTCGGCAGTGTTGGGAAGCAGAAGCCATCTTGCATTCATAGGTGGGTAGCACACTACTTCACCCACCCGTGCAACTGCCTACCTCTGCTCCCTAAAGTCCATCCCGTTTCCCCGCAGATCCCGAGTGGCAATCTGGGTGTGTTTGGCAATAGCGGAGCAGCACAAGCCAGGACCATGCAGCAGCCGCCGCAGCCACCAGTGCAGCCTCTTAACTCCTCCCAGCCCAGCCTCCGTGCTCAAGTGCCTCAGTTTCTATCCCCTCAGGTCAGACCCGGGCCAAGTGGGCGACATAGGCGGGTGCTTGGTGGGGACTTGGCCATATCCAAGACACTCTTTAAAAGTGAGAACTGAGTTAATCAACATCAAAGAGGAGTCCTTGCTGTTTTAAACCTGTAAATCTATCCTAACCTTCAGGAAGCCGCTTGGCCCTGCTGCCCCAGGAGTATCCCCAAAGCCTGCTACTCAGGCAGCTTCAGCCACCCAGCCTGCCACAGGTCAGAGCAGCTCTGAGGGAAGACAAGTCGGCACCCCAGCAGTGGTGCAGTTTGTCCTGGGCTTGCCTTAGAGAGTTACTCTAATGAACCTGATGGTGGTCCTGGGTTGCTGGAAAGGGCAGGGCAGGCTGCTCTGTTGGCAGCTTGGGCTGTGGAGGAAATGACCCCAAACAACCCAGGACTGCCACACTGTGCTGAGAAGCTGAAGGCAGTCACAGAGAGCATGTGTAGAACATTCCATAATTTCAGGCTTTGGACTGAGTTTTTAATCACAGTGTAACCGTCCTTTCCCTCATAAGAATGTTTAGTAATTGATTGCTTTTTGTTGATAACACATCAGAACTCTACTTGATATGTCATTCTGGGGCAGAGGGAGGCTGTGCCCTCCCAGGAAGGAGCAAAGCATCCTGAGGTCCCTACCACCTCTGGCATTCTTCTAGCAGAAGGAAAACTGCTTTCTCCCCTGAGGCCTCTGTTACCAGGAAAATATTTGAGATTCCTGAAGAGTCTTGTGTTTAATCAGTTCCAAAAGGAAATGTACTAACCCATCAGTCTTCCATTATTTGTAAAATTTAAGTCTCAGTTGTCTTTTTATTGCTATAACAAAATCCCTTATCCTGGATAAGTAGTAAACGGCACAGGCTTGTTGCTCATAGTTTTGGAGGCTAGAAGTCCAAGATTAAGGCACTGGAGGATCTGGGGTTTGGTATGGACTCTCCTCACCCATGGTGAGTTCATGCGTCCTCACATGCAAGCAGGGGCAGCCACACTCCTTTGGGCCTCTTTGATGAGGGCTCTGATTCCACTCAGGGCTCAGCCCTCATGACTCAGTCACCTCCCAAGGGTCCCAACTCTTAATCTATCATATCAAAGGGCAGTGGATTTCAACACTGGTGTTTGGGAGTCACAAACATTCAGACCATGGCATATAAGAAGACAGTATTGGTATACAGAAGCGAGCAGGATGTGTGGGAATAAGCATTATTCTGTAATGGTTTGTGTCCAAGTTCGTGCACTCACGGAGACGGCTAGAACTTGGTAGAATGCTAGTTAAATGTGTTAGGATCAGGGTAAGCCTCCATACAGACAGGCCTCAAAAGATGGTGTCTCAAACAAGACAGGCATTCCTCTCTTTCATGACAGTGTAGACAAAAAAAGCTAAGAGCTTGTGGGGCAGCTCTGCCACAGCTACTTGCCGACCTCAGGAAGAAAACATGAGAGGACAGGACAGCCCTTTGTGTGGATCGCCTGGAGGGTGCTGTATGCCACTTCCCAGTGCATGCTTCTGCCCACAGCCAGCACCACAGCCACACCCAGCCTGAGAACAGTTAGTGTTGTGCCCCGCCCTGAGCAGAGGGCGTGTCTCAAATATCACTCATTGCTGTGCTATCTTGTTTTCTCAATGAATTCCAATGTGATCTCCATTTTAGCTATACTGTTACATGCTATTTTTTTCTTTAAATTGACTTTCCCTTTTTAACTTATTTTAAAAAAATTTCATGTTTACTGTAAGTAGAAAAATCAATATTTTTCTAAAAATATTAGACAATTACAGGGGGGTTTTTTTGTTTGTTTAATTGTACATGGACACAATGCCTTGAATTTTATTTATGTTTTTATGTGGTGCTGAGGATCGAACCTTCTGCCTCACATGTGCTAGGCAAGTGCTCTACCACTGAACCACAGCCCCAGCTCATAGACAATTATTAAAGTAAAACATCCTCAACCATGTTACACCAAAATCATCTTGCATGCCTACCTGTGATATTAAGATCCATTTCACACTTTGGAAAACATTGAAATAGCCAATGTTAGCCGTACTTTTTTCAGAGTAGTGAATTCCAGTTGAAGGGACTTCCCTGAGTGGGAGGCAGGTGGGTATACAGGTCAGTTCTGCAGAGAGCCACAGGAAGACTGGGGGCAGTGGTGTCCAGCCAGAGGCACATCTGCTCTGTAGCAGCAGTGGCAGCCTTTGGAGTGTGCACACAGGGGAGGGGCTTGCTGAGCTCCTGGGGGCGCAGCTTGTGCAGGGGGTAGGCCCAGGGGCCTGTGTGAGAGACACTTGCCCTTGCCTGCCATCTTTAAGGCTTTCACTTTGGCAGAACTCAATCACTGATAGGAATAACCCAGAACCACACATGGGAAGCTAATGAGTAACTGAAGTACTTAGGGAAAGAAATCTCTAAAGACTCTACCCCTTCCTTCCTTCCTCCCTCCTTATTCTCAGCATGTTAACTACTAATGTTAAAATGTCCATAGATGTTCTAATGGCCTTTGAGGTCCAACCCTGAAACAAATATAATTACCATTTAATAAATTTTGAGTCTCTGAAACACTCTGCAGACAAGTAAATGTTCTCACAGATGGTGCTGACAGTGTGTCTTATGTCAAACAGGTTCAAGCACAGCTTTTGCAGTTTGCAGCAAAAAACATTGGTCTCAACCCTGCACTATTAACCTCGCCAATTAACCCTCAGCATATGACGATGTTGAACCAGCTCCATCAGCTGCAGCTGGTGAGTTCATAGGTCGCCTAAGGTACAGGCGAAGGGGAGCATCCACATACTTTTCACTAAGCAACACACCATGGACAGCCGTGGTTGCTCTGACACTTCTCTTCCTGGTGTGATGTGTCATCAAGACTGTTTATGAGTTATAAAGCTTTTCACTAAGGGTGTTTTTACGAAGTTTTGTAAGTGTTTTGACCCCTGCGTGTTCAGGAGTCTCAGATCCAGTTAGGCCATCTCTCCTTTGAGCTTTTAGCTTCTCATCTGAGCCATAAAACATAAAAACTCATTTTGAGTGACTCTTTCCTCAATTCTCCCAAGAGTGGTTTGCACAGTACCCATTCTACAAACAGGTGAGAATCTCTTCATCGTGGGTGCTTGACGCCTTGGAGCTAAAAACTTGATTCTCTCATAGACCCCCTTTGAGAGTGGCTGATGTGAGTTGGGGGAACACCAATAATCCCAGCTACTCAGGAACCTGAGGCGGGAGGATCGCAAGTTCAAGAACAATCTCAGCAACTTAGCAAGCTCGTATCTCAAAATAAAATATAAAAAAGGACTGGGGGTATAGCTTAGTAGCAGAGCACCCCTGAGTTCAGTCCCCAGAACTGAAAAAAAAAAAAGAGAGAGAGAGAGAGAGAGTATGGCTGCTATGACCCAATTATTCTTAAAAGTTTTATGATTTAATATATCTTGAATTTTTTAATTTTTAAAGTTTTATTCCTTTTATCATAAAACACCATGTTGTTATATTCCCTAGGTGTGTACTAAATTGATGTACACTACAGGGCCTAGTCTGTTATTTCATTCTTTGATGTGTGGGCACCTGGTGTATTTAGAAGTCCTGGCTGGTGCCTTGTAGGAGTCAGGCAGCAGAACAGCGGGAGCATCAGGGGCCTCTAATGGATGGCACCCCAGTGGAGACTTTTGCTTATACAGGAGTCTGTGGGCCCTTGAGGCCCCCGCCTCAGTATTTTCAAGATGTGGTTTTTAAGCACATGTCTATGGAGTTTGGACATCTGGCTTTTCAGTCAGTAACAGGGGAGGATGAGGCAGCCGAGGGGAAGTGTCCTAGAGACACTGTGGGTGTTCTGACTTTTCTGAAAAGCACAGAGCTCAAGACATAGGGTAGGGTGGCCTCAGCCTGCGGCTCTTTCTTGGTCCACAGTGGGGATCGGGGAGGCTAGCGGTACTGGGTTCGGGGCAATGCACTTGTGCAGTCCTATGGCTTTCAGTGCTGGCGGCAGCAGCAGAAGGCCCCACCCTCAAGAAGGAGATGCTGTGCTGTGAGAACCAGGCATACCTTATAAAGCATAGGGATTTAGAGCCGTTGCCGTAGAGCAAGGACATGCAGCACTGGACAGTGCTGTGGGCCTGACGGCCAGAGTTGTTCCTTCACCTGGAGAGCTCCTCTGGCCCCAGGGTGCAGAACATCAAGAAAATGCTGCATTATGTTTAGTGTATTCTGTTCTCAAATTTTTTCCCAGGATTGGAGAAATAAAGTTTAGTGCTTCCTAATGTTCAATTTTAGGGCCTCCATAGATCCACTTAAGTGAATCCATAATTAACGAGGCATTTCTAAGAGCTTCATCTCTACTGTTATTTGGATTCTATTTAATTAAGTTCTCTTGTCAAAAATATATCCCAAAATCCATGTTGTAAGAAAAAAAATCTAGCATTCCACCAGCATTTTGAAATAATCAGCTGAACACCAGCTGCACCAGTGTACTTAGAACCATGAGATCACCTTAGCCCATGCTGGCCCCAGGTATATTTACCGAAAGGACTCACAGACCCATGTTTGGGGTTTTGTCCTGGCTTTAGTTCCCACAGCACTGTCTGAGGTAATCACATGGCCTCCAGGTGTTTAGGAGCTATTTAGTACCTATTCTTTGATTGGGGCAGTTTGTTTTGTAATCTGCCCATTCTGGACCTTAGCCTCAACCATGATAAGAGTAAATTTATTTGTTATTTGCTTAATGTCAGTTGAACCATCTATTGATGGCTGTCTAATAACATTCTATCTTTTCTTTCTGTCAATAGGCATACCAACGTTTACAAATCCAGCAGCAGATGTTACAGGCCCAGCGTAATGTTTCCGGACCCATGAGACAACAGGAGCAGCAAGTAGGTGTCACCCAGCCTTACTTTTGTCATTAGCCTTGATTGTCCCTGATAGAAGAGACAGTAACTGATGAATTATTAGATTGTCCTTGACTTTTTTTTTCCCAGGTGAACCTCCCCTTTCAAAAGTCCTTACACTGGCTAACGTGTATGTGTCTCTTCCTGTCAGGTTGCGCGCACAATCACTAATCTGCAGCAGCAGATCCAACAGCACCAGCGCCAGCTGGCCCAGGCCCTGCTTGTGAAGCAGCCTCCGCCGCCGCCACCCCCGCCGCACCTGTCTCTGCACCCCTCTGCAGGCAAATCGGCCATGGACAACTTCCCCCCTCACCCCCAAGCTCCTGGCCTACCTGACCTGCAGACCAAAGAGCAGCAGTCTTCACCCAACACCTTTGCTCCTTACCCTCTCGGTGAGTCTCCTGTGGCCACCGCACTGCACTGCGGTGGGCGGCATGGCTGGCTGGTGCTGAACAGGATGCCAGGACTGCAGCCCCAGAAAGACCCCTAGAGCAGGCCTCCAGAGGAAGCAACACCAGCTGCCTCTGCAAAACAAAACATTGACCACAAGGTCTTTCAAAGCCCCAGAGAAATTCCCATTTCCATTGTTGCGTCAGCACAACCTGTTCATTCCTAGTTTATTTTTCATCTGCTGTTCTTTACCAGCCACCGTCCTCCAGCTCCAGCTGCAGGAAAGAGCTTACAGTGGTTCTGCCAGTAGTGTGTTCAGACTCACTAAAGCAGGCCCTGCTCACGGAGTAGCCGATGTCCCTGCAGCACCTCCAATGCAGAATGGGAACTGACCCGCCAGAGCATGCCCAGCATGTAAAGCCCACAAATCTTCAGAGCCACGGTTCCCACCCTCCAGGTCATACAGGCTGGCCAGGAAAGACATGCGTCACGCAACCAAAGGCAGCAGGGGAAAGACGTCACCCAGAGCAAGGGGCTGCATTTCAGGCCTGTTTATTGCTGCAGACACAGGACAAAGGAAATCAGTAGCTCAGAAAATATACCCTAAAGAATAAAGGCCAGTTGAGTAACAGAGAATTTGCTACCAACTGGTAACATCCCCTTGTAAGTGCTAGCACTTATCTCTGAAAAAAGTGGCAAGTTCTAGTCATAGGAACATCTCCTGCTTCAAGCATAACAAACATGGTGTGTCTTTAACATGAAGCTGATAAGTGTTAGACTGGACTGTCTTGTCCTTTCATTCCTGTCCTGTCCATTAATGCACCTGATGTCCAAGAAGTGGTGTCTGATAGTTAATGCCTAACCTTGGAATTAGCTTCCTGGGTTTGAGTCCCAGCCCACCACCAGCTGGCCCACTGCTAACTGTGGCAACTTGTCTCACTGCTCTTTACCTAAGGTTTCCTATCTCTAAAGTGGAAATGTTTACCCCATAGGGTTTCTTTAAAGATCAGATGAGTTCATATGTGACGTTCTCACACAGTCCATAGCCTGTGGCAAACACCATGTAGTACATTTGCTTTTCATGTAGGCTCTTTATTCTGTTTTAGGAATGGTTGTTCTGGAAACTAATTCCATTCCACCTGTCATCCTCAAATGCTCTAAATCCAGCTTCTACTGTTCACCTATCCTCTTGACCTGCTTTGGAGAATAAAGTGTGCTCATCTCTGCTCTGAAAGATTTCTTTCTTAATGTAATGAAAGAATTCATGCAGTAAATCTTCAAAATCTGATGAAATTATTTTGATAAAATGTTCTAATATTCACATTACAGTTGTAAATGTATTGAAAATGAATAACTAGTAAGATATAGGAAACTTCACCTTCCTACTGACTGTCACCATCTCTGCAGCTGCATATACCGAAAGTCTCTTAGGAGCTAAGCTAGTGGTGCCAGGAGCCAGCAGCCCCTGGTCCACCTTATGTCTGCATGTCCAGCCTCCCTGGCTATTCCATTTCTTCCCCATAGAGCCAACCACCTAGACAAGAAGATAAGGCCTACCTACAGGAAGAAGTGGCTTTGGTACCCAGTGGCTTTCAGAGCTGTTGAGCAGAGAATTGACTTTCACCTTGATGACTAAAGAAAAACCAAAGAGTAGGGTTTAAGTTTGAGCCCCAACTAGGCAGCATTTTGATGAATAAAGAGAAACCTCTCCAAACAGAGGCCTTACAGAGGAGCTCTGGTGTTTTCCAGGGGCAGTTCATATTGGCCCAGGCCAGTTTATCTACTTGTGAAGGAAGAGTTAAGAGAGGGGTTGGGGCCAAATTGTGGGAATTGGATGCTCTGCTGGCCCTTGCTTTGTGGCCCCTCATCTGATAGATCTGTACAAATGGAAGTGAAAGCAAGAAAGTAGGCAGTCTCTAGGTAGTATCCAACTGCAGAGGTATTTTGTTAGGTGTACAAAGTGTGTCTGTCTCTATCTTCTGTGTGTCCCCGCCCCCCTCTCTATCAATTACTAACATTTAAAAATTGAGAAATTATGGTGGATGCCTGAAGTCCCAGTGACTCAGGAGGCTGAAGCAGAAAGATCACGAGTTCAAAGCCAGCTTCAGCAACTTAGTGATACCCTGTCTCTAAATATAATATAAAAAGGGCTAAGGATATGACTCAGTGATTAAGCACCCCGGGTTCAATCCCTAGTACAAAAAGGAAGAAAAAAAATGGGAAATTATCAAATAAAAATTACTCCTGGCGTCTTTTAAAATTGGCTGGCTAAAGGAGCTGGGGTTATAGCTCTGTTGGTAGAGTGTCTGCCTAACAAGCACAAGGCCCTGGGTTCAATCCCCAGCACCACCAAAAAAAAAAAAAAAAAGCCAGTAAAATTGGCTGGCCAGGGACAGTGGTGCACACCTATAATCCTGGTGACTCGGGCGGCTGAGGCAGGAGGATTGCAAGTTTTAGACAGCCTGAGCAACTTATTGAGACCCTGTCTCAAAAAGAAAAGGCTGGGAAGAGCACCTCTGGCTTCAATCTCCAGTATAAAAAAAAAAAGTGGCCACACCGGTCAGGGTTCCACATGGCAGTATCTGGTTGCCCAGTAGCACCTGCTTTCACAGTTCAGAGCCTGTCTGTCCTGCTGTAGTCTCTCTTGCCCTCCTCACCTTCATTTGAATTGTCCACCTGGCTCCCATAGGCATTTGAATTTGCAGCCCCTGATATAAAGTTAAGAACCAAAATGTTTGGCACCTTGCCTAATAGTAGGGTTTCCTCACTGGGCACCACATGGTGTGTGGGTGGGTGGGTGTATATGGCATGCCACAGGTGGCTCCCTTCCAGCCCAAACATCTGGCCCACCCCTTAGTGGCATCCCTTTCAGGAATTCTTCACTTCAGCCTTTGTGTCATGGTCCCCATCATCTTTGTCAGCCTACGTAGTTCTGGACCTTGGCAGATCCCTAGGAGCATCAGCTCACCATTCCAGCTAGAATGGCAAATGGCAGCTCCCACTCACCCAGATAGTTCAGTTCCTGAAAAGCCATTTGATATGCAACTCGCACTCTTTCAGAGAATGCTTGTGTACCAGAAGTCCACTAAAGGTAGTTCTAGTTATTCAGACCAGCTTGTTCTGTAGGCAGAGGGTCATTTCAAAAAATGCCCTGGAATATGAAAGAATTTTCCTTCCTGTTTGGCTCACTGTTTTTGTGTTGGCTCTGACTGAGCAGCCTCAGGACCATGTTCGCCCTAAAACAAACAAAATGAGGAGAATTATGGGATGTACTTAGTTGAAGATTGTTGGAATTTTCACTTTAATTGAGGAATAATATCGCTTAAAAAGAAAGAAAAGAAAAATGTTGTTGGAAGAGAAGCATTTTTCACCAGCATTAACAGTGTGTTTCGCTATCAATGAAGCCTGGAGTGAAATCGGGCAGAGGAAGAGGAGGTAGGTCCTAATGGCATCTCTGTTTTCAGCTGGACTGAACCCAAACATGAATGTCAGCAGCATGGACATTACCAGTGGTTTGTCGGTGAAAGACCCATCTCAGTCCCAGTCACGCCTCCCTCAGTGGACACACCCCAACTCCATGGACAGCTTGTCCAGTGCTGCTTCTCCTTTGGATCAGAATCCTAGCAAGCACGGTATGTCGTGGCCGGCACACCCACAGAGGGGGTCACTCCTGGCTCATTCGTTGATTATCCCATTGTAGGGAATCTCATTCTGTACATTTCTACATCCCGATGCTGAAAATGGAGTAAAAGCATTCCATTCTTTTACAGAGTACATAAGATTTCAACTAGTTAAGGATCAAACTTATTGATCTTAGCTTCAAACCCAGGAATCACTGAAAATACCCCATAGCCTGTAGCTTGCTTTTTTTTTTTTTTTAACATCTGCATTCCTAAATCACAAAAATGAGTCAATTCTTTCAATAAAATAATAAAACACAAAATCAAATACTTAGAAGGGAAAAAGAAGCAAAATGTTAATCATCAAAGGTAATCACACTGTTAAGCATTAAATATAAACTTCCTGGTGGCATTAAACATGAAGGAAATATGTTAATATGTTCTCCACAACATCTGTGCACCTTCCTTGGCAAGAGGGAGCCCCGACACCTGTGGCTGGTTGGTTTAGTCTGTGTAAACTTAACACCTAGTTTGTTCTTCCATAATGAGCATGGCTAACTGCAGGAGGGAAAGACACAGATAACAGTAATTGTGGCAGCTAACCACAAGGGTAAGACATTGTCCCTAGAAAGGGTTATTATAGGCAGCCTCCTGTGTCATAGAGATTTCCAGCATGGGGGCTGGGGTTGTGGCTCCGTAGAATGCTTGTCTACTTGTGTGAGGTACTGTTCGATTCTCAGCACCGCATACAAACAAACAAAATAAAGATATCTTGTCTATCTACAACTTTAAAAAAGAAAAAAAAAGATTTCCAGCACGGATGGAGGTATAGCTCAGTGGCTCAAGAAATAAATATTCACCAGGCCCAGAGGCACACACCTATGGTCCCAGCTACTCGTGAGATTGAGACAGGAGGATCACTTGAGCCCAGGAGCTCAGGGCCAGCCTGGAAAACAGACTGACTTAAGAAAAAAAAGGGTTCCCACTTGACTAAGTAAAATTATTCTTTAAGAGTTTTCGTCTTTCAAGGACAAACTTTGGACTAACCAAAGAATTCCTGACAGACAAGGTCTGATGATTCATATTACTCTGACAAACCTGGAAGGGAAGGCTCTTTGGCAGCCCTTGCGTCTTGAACAGAGAGTACTCACCGGGATCCTATTTCTTTCTCCTGTAGGTGCTATCCCTGGAGGTCTAAGCATTGGGCCTCCAGGTAAGTCCTCCATTGACGACTCCTATGGCCGGTACGATTTAATCCAGAACAGTGAGTCACCAGCCAGTCCTCCTGTAGCTGTGCCCCATAGCTGGTCACGTGCCAAATCTGACAGTGATAAAATCTCAAATGGCTCCAGCATCAACTGGCCCCCAGGTAAGACCACACAACACCTACAGCAGCAGATCTGAACACGCCCTGAACCTAGGAGGAATAGGACCCAGGCCACATGTTCTGGAAGCTTCAAGCCCACCCCTTTGTCATTTCCATTGGGAATCCATTTGTCGGATCAGTGTGGGTATCAAGCCTTGTTCTGTGGCTCCTTAGTCCACTATCAGGAGTGGCAGTAAGGCAGTGGGGAAGGGACACTGGATACCATCTGGCAAGAACATACAGGCCTGGTACGTTGGCTATAATACCCGGTTCTGCTGTGTTCCAAGGAGGGAGTGATTTCACGAAAGAGTCTGAATGATCATATTATAAAAATTTCCACAATCAGGAAAATAATATTTTTAAATGTCAGGAAGCAATATGAACGTTCTCTAGCATGCAACTTCATTTGATTTCCACAAACAGAATTCCATCCTGGAGTTCCGTGGAAAGGACTTCAGAATATCGATCCTGAGAATGACCCTGACGTCACTCCTGGCAGTGTCCCCACCGGGCCTACAATCAACACCACCATCCAGGATGTCAACCGCTACCTCCTCAAGAGTGGAGGTGAGGAGGGGCCCCTCAACCTGCCTTCAGCTGGGGAGCAAGTCGGCTGAGACCCAGCTGCTGGGCTACTTCTGTCACCTGTCAGCTGCAGCATAGGAAGACTGATTTGGGGGACATGGTTTTGCTTGATCTGTAGAGGTTGAGTGTCCTGCATCCAGAATGCTTGGGGCCTGAAGTGATTTGGATTTCAGAGCTTTTAGATTTTGGAATGCTTACAGAGACTTAATAGTTGAGCATACCCAGTCCAAAAATGCAAAGTCTACAGTGTGCCAACTACATGGCATTGAAGTTTCCTTGAATTTCAGATGCTCAACCTGTGTATCATATTATAGCATTTTTTAAGATTACATTATAGAATCACATTTAACCTTTAGCTGTTTAATGAAAAAGTTTCCACCTGAAATCTCTTTAAACTGAAAAGGATTTAGGAAGACCCTTTTCATCCATCTCAATCTGTTTTTCCTGGCACAAATCTCAATGCCAATTGTTAGCACAACTTCTGTCAGACTTCAGAGCAAGAAGTGCTGGGCTGAGCTGTGAACTCAGAAAACACACAAAGACTTGAGGTGCAGTTTTGAGGCTTTCTAAGGTGTGCCCTTAGAAAGGAGGCCTGAAGAGACATCTGAGAGCCATCACTGAGAAGGCGTCTCACAGAGTTCCCACAATGTTAACTTAGGTTTCCACTTAAAGTAAGACCTGCTGGAGTGAAGTATTTGCTTTGCTGTCAGAATAGAGGAGCCTGCGTGAGATGGCAGGGACAGCCTGAGTGGAAGTCACACCTGTGTGTGGCAGAGCAGGCAAAGCAAGCCCATGTGTCTTGACAGTTGTGGGTAAGTGTGATGTGGGTCGTGCTGATCCAGGTATTAGAAGCTAAAAGAATCAAGGTTTCATGGTACACAGCAGAGCTTCCAGAGCAGGCACAGATGGAGCCACACATGACCCTTTGACCTCTGGGGGGCAGCAGGAGTGTTGCGAGTGCCATCCACCATCTGGCCAGGTTTTCTGTGATGTGGTAAAGGTGGCCTCAAGAAGCACCTGGCTTCTGGTCAGAGCCGGGGCAACTGCCTCTGATTCTGTACCTACCTAATAAAAGAGGAAGACTTAAGAGTGGAAAGGAATCCAAGCTGAGAAGCACATTGGCCATCGAGACAAGACAAGAAGATGGAATCCAACTCTGGGATTAAACACATCAGCTGCCAGGGCAATGGCCACACTGTGATCCTGAAAACTCGGGAGACTGAAGCAGGGGGATCCCAAATTCAAAGCCAGCCTCTGCAACTTAGTGATACAGTCTCAAAATAAAAAGTTAAAAGGGCCAGGGAAGTGGCTCAGTGGTTAAATACCCTGGGTTAAATCCTCAATACCTAAATAAATAAATAAAATTGGAGACCTGCAGAATGTAAATATGTTCTAATGGCTGTCAGCTCTGGTGAAGAGGTCCCCTACAGCATGGCATGTAGGAGGTGCCACATACCTGGGGGCCCTGCCTCAGAGACTGTAGCTATTAAGCCATCAGATTCTGTTTGTAGTGATGAAGGCAACAGTCCATCTGTGTCCAGGTCCCAAGTCAGAAGAGCCCTTTCCGCCCTTGCTTCCAGGCAGTGTTCTCTGCTCCACCTGCCCACCCCTCCCAGCTTTGTGAGTGAGAGTGACAGTGCACAAAGCCACATGGAGCTGAGCTCCATCCCAAGGAACCAGGTGTCTTGAGGGTGCAGGGAGGGACTTCCTCAGAGCAGAAAGTACTGCTCTGTGGGCACCATACTTGGAAAGGACACAGTTACTGGGACAGTGTCTCCACTGTGCCTGTGTCCCCAGAGGGAACTAGGAAGGAAGATAAAGGGTCAGAAAGTGCTCATGTTTTCATGTCAGAATTTGTAATGAAAAGCTTGGGGTTCATCTGTGAGCTGTGGTTTGAACCATGAAAGGGTGAGGATTGCCCTGCATTTAAATTGTTACTGTGCAGGGAACAGTCATGTGACCTTTTACAACTCTGACCTGACATTTTAAGTATTCTGTTGGTGTATCTTCCTCCATGGCTTGAGGTAACCTCACCTTCAGAGCTCATGCTGTGTCTCCTCAGCCTTCAGGAGCACCCCACACAGGCCTTCCCACGGGCTACGGGACTGACTCAAAGGTATTCCTTGTCTGCCTCCTGGCACCACACCTCCCTATCCAGTCCTCAGCCCAAACAGCAGCTCAGGAGGTGATCTGTATGCTGCCCCTCATCCCATCAGAGCTGCTGACTGCACACCTGCCACCCCTTCTTAGTGCCATGTTTGGTTCTGCAGGGTCCTCCCCACCATCCTCTCAGAATGCCACACTGCCTTCCTCGAGTGCCTGGCCGCTCAGTGCCCCCGGCTACAGTGGCTCTTTGAGCAGCATTGCCTCCTCACCTAGTGCTGCAGGTATGAACTGGCCTCTCCACTTGCAGGTAGCATTTTGTTTCTTTCCCCAAACAAACTGATAGGCCTCAGCTGTTCCCATTGGTCCCTTTACTCTCCTCCTGGGTACTGGAGCTGGTGTGAGCCTTGCCTTGCGTGACTGTGGGACCTCAGGCACATCTGAGTCCTCACACATGGAGTGGAAGTGGGGTTGTGAAGATCAGGTGATGTATAAGGCACCATTGCAGACCTAGCACAGCACCAGCCTGAGTGGATCTGCTTCCTTCTCTCCTCCCCCATGACTACAAGACAGGGAGTATGTGAGTCTTGAGAAACTCAGAGGCAGACAACAGCTGGGAATTACTTAAATTCCATAACAAGTAGAGGAGACTGGCAGGTCCTGATGTTAAGCCCTGGTATTCGCAGAGGCCCTACCTCCTCCTGCCTGGATCCACCTGGTATATACTAGACAAAAAAAACTGTGTGTTGTACTTATAAATTATTTCATATCTCTGTATTCTATCAAATTTTTAAACCACTGTACTGTGCCCATATGAGAATAGCATTTAAGGTTTTTTTCAATAAGAATTTTTATAATTCCATTACCTTGGGGAAAAAACACTTTCAATGTAGTTTAGCATCTTATTAAAAGAAAAACAAAGCCGGGTGCAATGGCACACACCTGTAATCCAAGCTTCTCAGGAGGCTAAGGCAGGGGGATCACAAGTTCCAGTCCAACCTAGGCAACTTAACAAGGCCCTGTCTCAAAAAGGGCTGGGGAAGCCGGGTACGGTGGCGCACACCTGTAATACCAGAGACTTGGGAGGCTGAGGCAGGAGGATCTCAAGTTCACAGCCAGCCTCAGCAACAAGGCACTAAACAACTCAGTGAGACCCTGTCTCTAAATAAAATACAAAATAGGGCTGGAGATGTGGCTCAGTGATCAAGTGGCCCTGAGTTCAATCCCCAGTACCCCCAAAAAAGTGGGGTGGGGCTGGGATATGGCTCTGTGTGGAGTCCTTTGGGTTCAATCCCTGGTACCAAAAAAGAGGAGGGGTATATTTAGACTTTTAAAACCTCCATAGTCGTTTGGCTAAAGAGAAGAGCAAAACCGTACAATCACTTTCCTTATCTCTGAGTGAGTCAGTCTTACATAGCATTTCGTTTTTTGACATCTTTTCCATGGTTAGCATTTGTTCACTGTGAAGTCAGAGCCATCTTGGGCACCAGGCTTGGAGAACCACACTTGTGCCATGAATACTGGACACAGTGGACACAGGAGCATGCAAACGTCCAGGACTCTGCTCATTCCATCCAGCCCTGAGTGGATGAGATAGCTGAGGCTGGTAGTCATTACTGATTTTTTTTTTCTCCCAAAGAGCTTTAAAACAGTGTCTCCCCAACCAGCATGCCAGATGTGGCATCTTGGCCTCAGGGCAGCTGGACTGCTTCTGTTTCTATGGCAGGTGCACAAGGGGTGTCTCTAGAAGCTGTGGGAGATTGCAGTGGCAGCTGGGGAAGGTCGCATGTCAGGAGCGTTGCCCTGACAGGGGACTGCTACCTAAAGAAATTATCATAAGGAAGAAGGCATGGACATTGTGGCCTCTGACCGCACCTGATCTGTTGCTTTACTAGATGTGTCCCGGTAGGCTTCCATGGCAAGTTATCCTCAACGCTGATTTCAGAAATGCTATTTTCTCTGTGGCAGATGTTGGCTATAGTGGCCATGCAGACTGTGAGCAGAAATTGAGAGTAGAGCATTGCTAGGTGCATTAACACATGCCTGTGGTCTAAGCTACTTGGGAGGCTGAGGCAGAAAGATCACTTGAGTCCAGGAGCTCAAGACCAGTCTGGCCACATTACAAGACTCTGTCCAAAAAAGGAATTGGAAAAAAACAGCGTGCTTCGGGCCTTGCTTCAGGATGTGGCACTGGTGTTTCTTTTCTTCCCGGTCTGCTGGTGTCACAGAGTGTGTGCCTGCTCCCCAAACCCAGCAATTGCTTTTCCTCTCTGACTACAGAGTGAACATGCTCCATTTCTCTGCCTTCTAGGTAAACTGTCAGACATTAAATCGACGTGGTCCTCTGGCGCAGCGTCCCACACGCAAGCCTCTCTGTCTCATGAGCTGTGGAAGGTGCCGAGAAACACTACTGCACCCACCAGGCCCCCTCCAGGGCTTGCCAATCCCAAGCCTTCCTCCACCTGGGGTGCCAGCCCCCTCGGCTGGACCAGCTCCTACTCCTCTGGTAAGTGCCTTTCTCTTCGCAGCTGCTTTGCTCCTTTCCTGGGGGCTGTACTTGTGGTTTTGTCCCCTCCCTTTTCAGGATCCCTGCGTGCTCTCTGGAGCCTGGGTGGGTCTGGAGAGAGCTGAGGCTTCCCTGCACCTGTGGGCTTTGGTTGGCTGAGCCCAGCTTTCAGCCCCTGGGTTACGGTTCACTGCAGCTTTGCTTTGGGCCGAAGGTCCAAGGTGGTCCCGACGCCTGTCCTCTGTCCTGCTATGCCACATGCTGGTCTCCCAGGGAGGCCCGTTTGGCCTTAGCTTCCCATTCCCATCAGCCCCCACCAACCAGCACCAGTGTCTTGATGTCTCCTTCTTGTGTTTGCTTCTCCACAAGACTTCATGGAACAGAGGGGCTTTGCAGGCCAAAACAACCCAGCAGCTTGGAGAGCGCACTGGTGCTGTTGGGCTCTGGGGGCTTCCTGCGGGTACCTCAGGCTAACCCTGAGGGATACGAGAAGGGTAGGGGGGACTTCAGAAACTGAAGTTTAAGTCAGTGACAGATAGTTTGAGAAAGACTGTTGCAGGCCTTTTAATAGTGGCCCTTAGCCAAGTGTGGTAATTCAAAACTGTAAGACCAGTGACTGGGAGGCTGAGGAAGAAAGATAGCAAGTTAGAGGAACAGTCTGAGCAACTTGGACCCCGTCTCGAAAAATAAAAAGACTGGGAATGTAGCTCAGTGGTAAAGTACCCTTGGGTTCAAACCCCTGTGCCAAAAGAAAAATAATGATGGTAATAATAATCTTTGTGGATTTGCTTTGTTAACATGCAGAATTTTAGGAGATTGAATGTAAGTTGGGGGGTCATGGAAGACCAGAACTTCCCAGGTGATTCTCACCTGTCCCGTCACATCCCATCACTCATGGCACAGGTGGGAATGTACAGGCCTCCGAGGGGGTGGGGACAGCCAGGAAGTGGGGATTTTCATAGACACAGACAGGTGTCTGCAGGGATGGTGAGATTTGGGTTGATCAGAAGATGCCCAGGGACTCCTTGACTTGCAGGGCTTTAGAGCTTGCCATGTGTTCTAGATAAGGTCAGAAACCTGGAACAGGGCTGTGCCACCTGACTGTACAGCCTGTCACTGAGTTCTTGTGCCCTGGGCTTGTCACACAGGTTCTGCTTGGAGCACCGACACCTCAGGAAGAACAAGCAGCTGGCTTGTTCTTCGCAACCTCACACCCCAGGTAAGGCCCCAGCACAACAGGACGGGCATCCTACATATACCCACAGGGACACAGAGCACAGTCACAGAAGTGCCACTTGGCCCTGCAAGCAGTGTGGCAGAGACCCTATCAGCCTAGGAGCACACAAGGCAAGTGGAGCCGGGCTCCAGCTGCAAAGAGCAGATACAGGGCTGCTCTTAACCATGTGCTTGATTATTCATTCACCCTTAGGGGGCTCAAAAAGCATACCTTTGTAAACAGAACTCTTGTCTTCACCGCCCACTCAAGAGTGACTTGGCCAGCTAGTAGTCACCATTGCTGACCTGCACACACCTGCAAGGCCACAGGGCCACCAGGCCCTGGTGCCTTTTGTGAACCACAGACTGTGGGATGTGCCCTAGTGAGAGGGCAGCAAAACTCAAAATGGAATTTTTTTCCTTCCTCTGATTAGTTTAACTCATAAAAGACAACTGAGGTGTCCAGCATTCCAGGTGTGCCAGAAGTAGCACATGTCAGCGTCGTAAAGCTATGTGTCAGTAAGCCTTTTCAAGGAAAGACACTTTCCTGGCGTTTTTAGTGCATCCATTCACAGTGCCTTTGAAGAAGATAGTGGAAGTGCCCTGTGCTTCCTCCCCAGATTGATGGTTCTACACTGCGGACGCTGTGTCTGCAGCACGGGCCTCTCATCACATTCCATCTGAACCTGACTCAAGGCAACGCTGTGGTCCGCTACAGCTCCAAGGAGGAGGCGGCCAAGGCCCAGAAGTCTCTGCACATGTATGTTTCCCCTCATTCAGCCCTGTGCTGCCAGATGGCCTCAAGCCCCAAGCACCTGGGGGGCGTTATGTCCTGAGGCTGCCTCCACACCCCCCATGGGCCTGTGTGCCACAGGAGCTCCACCTCTCAGGTCCTGGGTCCTGGAAGCCTGAGATCAAGGTGTCACCAGGGTTGGCTCCTTCTGAGGCCTGTCTCTCCTTGGCCTATAGACAGCCATCCTCTCTCTGTGTCCTCTGTGTGTGTCAGTGTCCCGGTCTCCTCATCTAAGAGTCCTGTTGGATGAGAGCCACCCATGGGACCTCAGTTAACTGAATCAACTCTCTGAAGACCTGTCTTTTCAATACAGACATTTAGAAGCAAGGGGCAGGACTTCAATGTATGAATTTGGAGTAGGAACTCAGTTCAGTGCATCACAGGTGTCTTGTAATGAGTGGGTGACTACTGATGGTTCTTGCTGGAAGTAGAAAAGGCTCCCCAAAGACCACGTCAGGTCCAACCACAGAAAGGAGGTGCCCTCACACTGCTCAGAGGGCACCGTCAGCAGTCCTCACAGCCAGCCCCAATGCCTCCTTAAATTGTGCATTTGACAGAGTATAACACCTGCTCAGAAGCACCCCTTGAGATATGAGGCCTCGATATTAGGTTCTTTTTTTCTTTTTTAATATTTGTTTTTTAGTTGTAGTTGGGACACAATACCTTTATTTTATTTATGTATTTATTTATGTATGTATTTATTTATTTACATGTGGTGTTGGGGATAGAACCCAAGGCCTCGCACATGCTAGGCGAGCACTCCACTGCTCAGCCCCAGCCCCAGACCCAGCCCTCTGTATTAGTTCTTCCTGGTCTTAGCCCAATATGCAAGTGGCACTGATGCTGAGTGGCCCCAGTTTCATGGTATCACTCATGAATTTACACACCTGCCGTGCCCACCAGTTCATGGCTGCCAGAAGTCCAGGCAAGGGACAGAGTCTAATTGAGAACTGGCAAAGCCCAGCCCCAGGATGACACAGGCCCCAGGCTCACCTCTCCCCATGCCATAGCCTCAGCCTCTGGGAGCATACTCACCTGCCTGTTTCCCCTGTAGGTGCGTGCTGGGAAACACTACCATCTTGGCAGAGTTCGCCAGTGAAGAGGAAGTGAACCGGTTCCTAGCCCAAGGCCAAGCCCTGCCACCCACGTCCAGCTGGCAGTCCAGCAGTGGGAACAGCCAGCCCCGACTGGGCGCCTCAGGCAGCACCCATGGGCTGGTGCGCAGCGAGGCGGCCCACTGGAACACCCCCTGCCTGGGCGGCAAGGGGAGCAGCGAGCTGCTGTGGGGCGGGGTGCCCCAGTATTCCAGTAGCCTCTGGGGCCCGCCCAGCACCGAGGATGGCAGGGTGATCGGCAGCCCCACCCCACTGAACACACTGCTGCCTGGGGACCTGCTTAGCGGGGAGTCCATCTAGGGCCAGGGTCACCTGCACCAGGAGGAGAGCTGACCTTTCCAGTCCCGGGCACTGTGGCCCCAGGACCAGCAGCCCGCGGCCCTTTCGAGTACCTCTGTCCAGTTCCGAAGATGAACCTTCACCGCAGCCCTTGTGAACTGTTTCCAAAACAGTGCAGGCTGCGTTTGGTCAGTGTCACGTGCTAACGACAGGATGTTCCTCATAGCTTTTTATTTTGTGTCGTCTTATGTTTGTATGGTGTGTTGTCATTTTGAGTTTTTAAGTATAAAAGCTGCTTAGAATAGTTCTATCATGAAGGGCACTTTTCAGATTGTGGGCTGGAAAGGGTTATTTTATCACGGGGAGGGAGGGAGGGAGGGAGATGGAAGCCTATTAAGTGAGCCTGTGACGATTATGCACATTACCAGAGGCGGCGGGTGGGGCAGGGCAGGTCGGGCAAGGTCGCTGGCACTGAGCAGAGCGGCACCGTCGCCCTCTGCCCTCTGTTCCCCTGGATCCGCCTATGCACATTACCCTTGTTTCATTACTTTTTCATGTCATTTTTTTTTAATCCCAAAAAATATTTTTTAAAAGTTAAAAAAAAAAAGACATATCAAACATGCAAATACTTGAATCCAGCAGGCCAATAATGAAATGTGAACACTTTCTAAGTCTAATTCTACACTTCCAGGTTGACATCAGTACACAGAAACAGGCTCTAGGAAAAATTTCTTAAGTTCATAGCCTATGTGTGCGAGTGTGCATGGGAAACAGTGTGGGGGGTGTGTGTGTGTGCACGTGTGCTCCTGAACAGTACACACTTCGTGTGTGTGTGTGTGTGTGTGTGTGTGTGTGTATAGAGTGCAAGGGATTTAACTGTGGGTTTTCCCTTTTATTCAGTATATGCTTTTATTTGGCGCATTGGTCAAACGTTTGTTATTATTAGCTTCTAACTTTGCACTGAGGTGTCCCTGCCCTTCCTTCAGCTAATCCTAAACAGTAAAGAGAATTCACAGGACAGGGCTGGCGACAATTCACGTGTAAATGTTTACTCAAGGACTCTGTTATTGCATCTAAAACTGCAGTGTATATCTCTGGAGAAATGATATGTATCTCTACCTTTAGCAGCTTTTTATTGTGGACTAATGCAAGAAGTCATTACCAGAGTATTGCACCATTTTCCATTTGGAATATAAGGTTAAAGAGAAAGAACTGATGTTGAACTGTGGCCATAGATACTTGTAAAGAGCGACGGTTCCGCGGCAGCAGCGGGACAAGCACTTGGACGTGGTTAAGACTGCTTTCAGCGGAGCCCGGGGTTTGGGCTCCCACCTGTTTACAGACCTTTTTTTCTCCTTCAGACTTTAAAATGAAAATTTTAAAAAGGAATTTAAAAAAAGAAAAAAGAAAAAAAAAAGACTTCTGTCGTAAAGAACCCTATTTTCAGAATGCAGACGCGCTACTTCAGAGCTCTGGGATTGGACAGTGCCGTCCCCCTTCGGCCGTCGTCGTGGACTCTGTCGACTGTCCTCGCCCCTTCGTCGAGGTGACGAGGCGCTGTGGTCACTGTCTTGCACATGCCGGACGCGCTCTCAGGAAAGCCAGGGCTCCCGAGGGCAGCTCCACACCATTTCATGTATTTTTAAACCCAACTCCTAGCACTGAAGATGTTATTAAAAAAAAAAATAATAAAAATTTAAAAAAAGAAAGAAAAAAAGAAAAAAGAAAAAAAAACCACAAAGATGAAAAATACCTAATCTCTAATGTGTAGCAGTTACATATTTACCAAATAATGGACTCAAAAGAAATAGATGTTTGAAGAGTGCTTTATATATTAAAAATTGCTTTATGTTTTAAAAATGATCAATGTTTTGATTGTTTTGCAAGGAAGAAAGACAATGGAATAACATACCCTCCAGTATGTTTTTAAAAAGTCTATGGACATTGTGCTCCCTGCCTGCTCGATCAGGAAACCTGTGCATTACATTTTTTTTAATTAGCTTTTTAATGATTTTATCAAAACAAAAAAACAAAATTTAAAAAAAAATAGAAAAAAAAAAAAAGTCCTGCAAGATTGCAGATCAACAAAAGCTGGTTTTACAGAGGATCATGAACTATGCACAACCTAGGTTCAGAACTTCCCTCAAGCTTAGTAGTGCATCTAGCTGACGACCCCTCCTCAGAGTGAGCATCGCGTTGCCAGTACATGCATCCTACATATTTGATATGCATATCAAATATACGTGCGCGTGTGTGTGTGCGTGCGTGTGCGTGCGTGAGCACTCAGTCATACAGCTCCCGTGCTGCCATTTAGCCCTGAGTCGTAGAGAAAATTCCCAATGTTTTAAATTTGGGGAATGGAAGAAAGAATCTGTTTATTTTGGGGTTTTGTTGGGGATTTATTTTTCCTTTTTTTTTTTTTTGACCTTTTATTTTGAATTTAAGATGTCTGTAACTCTTGAGATTAAAAAACAAGTTTGTGGCTCTTAATGTTTTTCCTCATAGAATGTGTTTGTTGAAGAACATGCACCGAAAGTTGCTTTCAACAGTACAACGCTTTGTTGAATCTTAATAAATTGCAATTTTTTTCTTGGCTGTTCAAATTAATGTGTTTTTTTTTGTTTTTCAAAAACAGATACTATCAACTTTGATTTTGTATGCTGAAACTAGGAGTTGTCCTGTGTAGGACAAATTCTCTGTCTTTTTGATATGTTCAATGTTTATATATAGTTAAACTCTGAATTTTAGTTGTTTGACATATTTTATCATTTGTTTTCTGGCTTTGCTATTAATGTTTAAATCTTAATAATTGTTGGGAAACAACAGTTTTCAAGCTCTCCACTACCAGCAGCCTCCTGTCAGCCTGGTGCATGTGAGAAACATTGCCGTCTGGAAGAACAGCAGGCTGATCCTGGGTCTGCTAGGGTGCAATGAGGACCAACCCTGTCACCAGGACCCAGTGTGGGCATAAGAAATTATCAGAGAAGGCCAGGCACGGTAATGCACACCTGTAACGCCAGCCTCAGCAATTTAGCAAAGACCTGTCTCAAAAAATGGCTGGGGATGTGGCTCAGGGGTAGGGCACCCCTGGGTGCAATCCCCAGCCCCAAAAAATAACAATCACAGAAGCCAGGTGCAGTACTTTCACGCCCTTGGTCCCAGCTCCTCAGCAATGATGGCTTGAGCCCCAGAGTTCAAAGTTAGCCTGGGAAACATCAGAGAAGAGTACAACAAAGGTCTTCTGTGTTTCCTGGACGTTTTATTCATCTGTTTTTAAACATTGCCTTAGCTTAACTTCTACCAAGCTTTTGTACCAGTGTGGTGGGACTTGCCATGCTGGGCAAAGCAGCAGCAGCCTTGCCACAGGATTCCAGGAACTGTTTTCTCACTCCATCCTGGAACACTTGCAGCCTGAGGTTGATATGTTGGTGCTTCTGTTTGATCAGTACCGAGAGTGTCTCTGGACAACACGCCAAGTACCCGTCAAGACCCCTCAGGGACTGGAGGAATGACTCCCCTGGCTCTTGTGCATCAGTTCCACCTCCTGTCAGCTGGCCCCCGAGAGGGTGGCCAGCCACTGGCCCTGACCAGCCTCTTCTGAAAGTTGAGAAGGGCCTTAAGGGGGCCATAAGCAGAGGAAGATGGAGTTCAGAAATGGGACCTACCAAGTTCACTTGGCATTCAACACTCCATCAATCAGGAGCTGCACCTTGGCACTATGTGCAGACATTCAGCAAGGGGTCGCTTTATGCCAGTGTGCTGAGCTGCAGAGGGTGGGTCCACCTGCTTTTCTCCCCCAGGAGAAGTCCAGGGCCTTCAAGTTGTCCAGCGGGAGCAGCACGCTGCTGGCACCTGCCCCTGGCCTGCAGGGCCATCAAATTTTAAGAGTCTGAGGAGGGTGAGGGGCAGGTTTAGAGCAGAGTGGGGGGATCCTGTGTGAAGGCCTCAGGGCTGGACAGGGGTTCCTGGTATCCAGCGGGAAGAGGCCTGAGTTCTGGAGTCAAGAAAACTTGGGTTTGGAGCTATTCCTGCACCAGCGTGGAAGGTTGGTGGAGAGGGGTGCTCAACAGAGGCGGCGTGTCAGAGGAAGCTGGAGAAGAGGTACAAAGGGAGCCCAGAACATGGACGGAAGACGAGGTCAGAGGTGCACAACAGCTGGCCTGTGTTTGGTGGGAAGAGGAAAAACAGGGGCAGCAGGCATTTCAAGAAGATTCCTTGCAGGAAGAGAACTTTTGGCTGAACTGGGAGAAACACCTGACGCAGGATCAAAAGGGAACCTGCGCTCAGTTTCCAGCTTTGCACATAGCTCTTCTCCACTGACTTCCTGCTGACAAGAAGAATGTCCCCTGATGGAGCAAGTGCAGCACAGCTGGCCTCAGGGCCACACCAAGGGTAGAATGACCTGGGGTGCTTAGAATGCCAGTGCTAGGCACATGTAAACCAACTCAGGGTCCCTGGGGTGGTAACCGCAGTCTTAAAATCCCCATCCTTCCCCTGTGCAGCCAAGATGGAGAAGCAGAGACAGGCGCCTTGTCCTCAGCCTGCGTACTACGGCCGCTCCCCTGCGCTGCCATCGCAGTTTGCAGTCTCCAAGTCTTGACTTGATTTCATTTGGCAGATATAGTGAGCTTTTTTCCTTCTTCATTTTTCTTTTTTTTTTAAGTAAATTTATTTTTTTAAATTTTTTTAAAGAGAGAGAAACTTTTTAATATTTATTTTTTAGTTTTCCGTGGACACAACATCTTTGTTTGTATGTGGTGTTGAGGCTCGAACCCGGGGCGCACGCACGCCAGGTGAGCGCGCTACCGCTTGAGCCACATCCCCTTTTTAAGTAAATTTAAGTGCAGGGGCTGAGGAGTAGCTCCCTGGGTTTGAACTGCAGCACTACCCAAAAACTCAAGTGTGCCAGGCACAGTGCTAAGCACTTACAGGAGCTGTGTCATTTACTACAGTGGTCCCAAGAGGTGAAGAACTGGAGTAAGAGAGGTCACAGAGCATGCCCAAGCCCATCCACGTAATCCCGAGGACCTAAGGGCCACATAGTGAGTTCAGAGAACAGAACCATGCTGAAGTAAAGAAGGAAGAGAAGTGAACCCAAGCAGTCGTGGAGCTACCAAACCTCAAGTGCACAGGTGGGCAGCAAGCTGAAGACAGACAGAAGTGGGCACAGAATTCCTTCCTTTCCAGGAAACCTGAGTTTGGCTCTTTAAGGCCTTCAACTGATTGGATGAGACCCACCCACATTATCAAAGCTGTTAACCACACCTGCAGCTTCCCTTACAGCAACCTCTGGATTCAAATCCAAAGAAGTCACTGGTACTACACAGACTAGCCTGACACAAGACTGGCAGGACACTAGGTAATTCTACCAACACCATGGTCAGCTTTTTGAGCATCTGTCAGAGTAGCTTGTCCTGGTCTCGTGCAGTTGTGAGGCAGGTGAAGTGGCCTCAGTAGATGCAGACTGACGGCAGTGCTCAGTCACCCAGCAGTGATCCATGTGTGCTCCCCATCCTACAGAAGGGCCATGAGAGAGAGGACACACCTCCTGGACGGGGCCTGGGGACTCCAGGTCAGTTGCACACTTTCTAGACTCTCCACTCAGTTTCACCCAGCAGCACCACATCCACAGATGGAGCCAGAATTGTTCCCTAAGGTCAGTACCTGCTACCTGCAGATGTCCCTCAACACTGCCCGACTTGGTTCAGCCATGACAGGTGAACCACAGGAGTGACGGCAGCTGTCTCTGGATGTCTGTCCCCGGGAGGGAAGGCTCCAGTGAGCAAGGGCCCAGGTGGGGGGCAGCTGGTAGTCAGCAGAGCTCACTCTGCCCGGCCTTTTCCAGATTCCACTAAGAATCACGAGTGGCGGGGCCATTGCTGCCCCTGATCCTGTGCGCATCTGTAGATCAGGACACTGGGGCTAGGAGTGGAAGGCTGTCCCTCTTCCCTGTACCCACTCCCTGTCCTTGAGTCTAAAGCATTCCACAGGCTCAGCCTGCCAGACCCACCCCTACCCGCAGCCAGCCATGATCAGGCCTGCCCCAGCCCCTGGCCATTCTACACATCAAGCCCCATCCACTGCAGGACCTGGTGCTGGTGGCTCCTCTCCCCAAGGATCCTGTCCTCATTCCACATCCTTCCCTAAATTTGCTTCCCCCACTGGTCCACTTATGGCCCTGGACACAGCCTGGACCTGCCCACCTACCCTGCAGACACAAGTCCTCTCTCAGATACAGGGTCAGGCTGGTCAGGGGCAGTGTCTCAAGCCTGCCTCCAAGAGTTTGGCCAGCAGAGGGCCCCCTCTGGCCCAGAAACTCCATGGCCCCTAGCCAAGTTTCCACAACATCCTGCCACACAGACACCTTGAGCACTGCAGGAACCCTCTACACATACCTGGCCAGGCCCAGGTTCCAAGCACAGCCTCCAGAGACAAGCCCGTTTTGCAAAACCCATTTAATGTAAATAAATAAGAGTCCCAGATGGGGCAGGGCCCCCTGGAGGCACGCAGGCCCCACCTGTCCACTCTCTGGGCTCCATCTTCAGCTCAGCTCAGCCTATGGAAGGGGGAAGCAGGGTCACTCCACCATCCTAGTGTCCCACAGGGTCTCAGATCCTCGTCTCTGCCTGCCAGGATGTAGTGACAGAGCGCAACTGGGGGTGCTGGGGGAGCCTGCCAGGCCCCTCACTGTCCCACCAGCTGTCCCCTCCGTCTGCAAGCAGGGCAGAGGGCGTCACGGCCTCCTCGTTTCTGTGAGCTCTGCCAGAAAGGAAAGTCAGTGAGGGCCCAACAGCATGGCCAGATGCCAAAATTCTTTCCAAGTCCCTGGCAGAACTGGAGTCCTCCCAAGGCTGACGGAGGATGGAGGCAGGTGGGCAGCAGGCTGGAGTGGAGACAGCCACTAGATTCACCTTCCATGGATTTGCTTAGGGGAACTGAACTGGGAAATTTCCACTTTTGCTGGTCAAATGCTGTCACATGTCAACAATTTTGTGTGATGTAAGCAACAGGCAGCAGCCCTGTGCTGTCGGCATGCTTCCCGTGCAGGCTGCAGCAGTGGAGGGGCTCGGGGAACACCGTGCCTCTACCCGCAGTGGCGACTGGGTGATGCCAATCCCTCTACCTGGGGAAACCACGGCCAAGAGTGCATGACCTCCAGGTCCCCAAGGCTAGTTCAGGGGCCAGCATGTCTGTCCAGTGAGTGACTGAGTCAGGTTTTATTCTGAGATGCTTCCAAACCCAGGCCTGCTGCTGGGGAGAAGTCCTGCTGGCCATAGCTACAGACCTGCAGATATGACTCTGGGGCCAGCTTCTCCATTTCCCCAGCAGGTGGGCCACGGAGGAAGTGGGAGACCCAGGCATGTGTGGCTCTGCACTCGTACACACTTGTGCATGTACGTACTGGTGTCTGCCCACCAGGCAGAGGGAGCTGCGAGGCCACCCTCCTGTGGCTATGTGCCTGTGTAAGCTGAATAAGTGGATCTGCGTCTCGGCCATCTCCCTTGTCCTTGCCCACAGGTAACGATGAAGGCTGAAGCCAGCAGAAAGACTGCACAGTCGGGCTATCAGGCCTTGACAGGAAGGAACCGTGTCTGTGCTTGGC